ACTGCCAAGCCATTTTTACTCAGTTTTGTACGTATCATTCAGTCACATGCACCAACCTGTCATTAGTACTGGTGGATAACGTCTAAACTTTTGGAACAAGCCATTTAATTACTTCATAGCCCAAAGTCACAAAGCAACAGTTCATACAGCGTGCACAAGGACTCTATTCTTAGACCCCTGAACGTCAGGGAACAGTTGAAATATAAACTGTTCAATGCTGCGACTGCATGTTTTCTTTTCCTAGAATGAGTGGGTGATTACAGCGTTGAATGTGTGATTCCACTTTACATTGTCTCGAATTGTCTACTTCACAGCTGAGACCACAGCTGCAAGTCAGGTTTGCAAGAGTCAGTGCAATACTGCAACATTGCATCTAGAGTTCACAAACGAGTTCAGCACAAAGACAGCATAACACTTTTTTTTTTGGCCACAATCACCTATGAGATGTTGAACCATTTACGTAACCCATGTTAAACACACTGTAATAGCAGAAAAAGGCTAAAAATATTGTTTAATATTAAAATAAAGTATAATATATTGCTCATTAATCTTTTTGGAATATATAGATAAACAAATCATTGCCTTAACGTCTTGGAAATTCACACTATTTTTCCTCAGTTATAATCAAAATGTAGAGTCATATGTGGGTGACCAGATACCAAAAAAAAATTGTGTTTGTGTGGGGCCGTGCTGCCAGGTAGTCTGATATTTTCATACTGAACTTAAAATTAAAAATACATATACTCTGCAGGGTGCCAGATATGCACCTAAAGGCAAAATAAATTACATCTGAAAGCTACTTATCCAACTCTCTTGATGAGTAAAAACAATAAGCCTAAAAGGGGGAGTTGAAGTTTGCTCTTATTGTCTCATACTCTTTATATTATGTGCATTGTCTGTATTTTCAGCTGCTTTTCTGTCTGCTGATCATCACTGGAGCTCAGCAGGGATGCACCCATCAATCGTTGTGCTTTTTTAAAGCCATATCTGATGATTTTGATCATTTATGTGTCACTTCAGGCCACATTTTCCTCTGTGTGAAATTGAAGAAAAACTGTATTTCCCACTGTCGTTTCATTTTCTTTGAAGTAGTTTC